ATAGAAACCCTCCGGTACTAGTTAAACAATAACTCCCCATTTTCCCTCCCCAGCTCCTGGGAATCTCCAATCTACTTTCTGTCTCTCTGGATTTACATATCCTGGGGATTTCCTATCAGTGGAATCCTACAGTAGTTGTCCTTTTTTTGTCTGGCTGCTTCCACTTAGCATAATGTTTTCAAGGTTCATCCGTGTTGTAGCATGGCTCAGTACTTCATAACAGGTTATGGCTGAGTACTGTTCCATTGTGTGCATAGACCGCATTTTGTTGATGAATTTATGAATACTTGTTTGTGCTTTTTGGCAGTGATCAATAATGCTCCTGTAAATATGCATATACAAGTGCTTATGTGGACATATGTTTTCATGGGCATATGTAGGAGTGGCATGGCCGGGTCATATAGTAATCCTTGTTTAACTTTTGAGAAACTGCATGCTTTTTTGAGGAATTGTTTTCCACAGCAGTGGCACCATTTTATATTGCTACCAGCAGTGGACGGGGGTCCTCACCAGCACTGGTGGTGTCTTTTTGATTACAGTCATCCTAGTAGGTGTGAAGTAGTATCTCCTTGTGGTTTTGATTTGCGTTTTCCTAACGATTAATGATGTTGAGCATCTTTTCATGTACTTAATGGCCATTTACCTTCTTCAGAGAAATGTCTATTTGAATCCCTTGCCCATTTTAGTTGGGTGGTCATTTTATTGTTAAATTATAAGAGTTCTGGGTGCCTTTGTGGCTCAGTCAGTTAAACGTCTGCCTTCAGCTCAGGCTGTGATCTCGGGGTTCTGGAATTGAGCTCAGCAGGAAGTCTGTTTCTCCCTCTCCTTCTGCCCCTGCCCCCGCTTGTGCGTGAACATGCTCTCGCTCTCAAATAAATATTTTTAAAAAATTACAAGAGTTGGGCCACCTGGGTGGCTCAGGTCATGATCCCGGAGTCTCAGGATCAAGTCCCACATCTGTCTCCCTGCTCAGTGGGGAGTCTGCTTCTCCCTCTGACCCTCCCCCTTCTCATGCTCGCTCTCAAATAAATAAAACTTTAAAAAAATTATAGTTCTTTTTTTTTCCTAGGATTTTATTTATTTATTTATTTAGAGAGTGTGCGCTTGTGAGCAGGGGGAGGGGCAAAGGGAGAGGGAGAGAGAGAGAATCTCAAGCAGACTCCGTGCTCAGTGTGAAGCCCGACATGGGGCCCAACCCCATGACCCTGAAATCATGACCTGAGCCAAAACCAAGAGTCAGACGCTTAACTGACTGAGCCACTTAGACAC